CTCTTTTTACCTGAAGTACGCTGTCTTCACTGTTTTGATTTGAGTATTCATTTGATTCTACAATTGCCTTTGGTAGAGGCCATGGAATTTTTTTTTCCATGCTAAATAACTATATGTGCAATACACTGTATAGAATGAGAACAGATATTACAATCCATTATATTAAAATATGTAACAAGGGGCTGGTGCCGCGGTTCACTAGGCTAATCCTCCACCTGCGGCGCCAGCACACCAGGTTCTAGTTAGTCCCAGTCAGGGTGGCGGATTCTTTCCCGGTTACTCCTCTTCCAGTCCAGCTCTCTGCTGTGGCCCAGGAGGGCAGTGGAGGATGGCCCAAGTGTTTGAGCCTTGCACCCACATGGGAGACCAGGAGAAGCACCTGGCTCCTGCCTTTGGATCAGCGCACCGTGCCAGCTGTAGTGGCCACTTGGGGGTGAACCAACAGAAAAAGGAAGACCTTTCTTTCTCTCTCACTGTCTAACTCTACCTGTCAAAAAAAAATTAAAAAAAAAAAAAAAAGTAACAAGATCGTCTTTTCCAATAAAAATGAAAAAAGTTCCAAGTTAAAACTAAAGGCTGTCAGGGCTGGCGCTGTGGCATAGTGGGTAAGGCCGCCACCTGCAGTGCCAGCATCCCATATGGGCGCTGGTTCCAATCCCAGCTGCTCCACTTCTGATCCAGCTCTCTGCTATGTATGGCCTGGGAAAGCAGTGAAAGATGCCCCAAGTCCTTGGGCCGCTGCACCCACATGGGAGACCCGGAAGAAGCTCCTGGCTCCTGGCTTCTGGCTTCAGATGGGCCCAGCTCCAGCTGTTGTGGTCAACTGGGGAGTGAACCAGCGGATGAAAGACTTCTCTCTCTTTCTCTGCCTCTCCTTCTCTCTGTGTAACTCTGACTTCCAAATAAATAAATAAATCTATAAAAAACTACACAGTACAGAACTCTTCATTTGCAGACTGACTTTAGGTACATGGACAGCACCTTTGATTTTTCTAGACAAAAATTATGTTAAGATTGCTGTGGCTTCAAAAACCTAAAAATTCACCAATTAGAACTAATTTGGTTTTAACTCATACTTTAGATTGAAAAACTTTAAGAATGCTGACCATTCCCTCCCATACAAGAATACTTAAATACACATGGAAAGTGACAAAAACCCAAAACCACTGCAACCAAATACAGACCAAAAAAAGTTCCATTGTTAATATCTGCCAATATTTCTCAACAAGAACCTCTACCTAAATTTTCTAAAAATACAGAAACAAATCTTTACTGCAGCACAACCAAATACCCAGACCATCACCAAAATGAAGCCTCTATCCCTCCAACTTGAGTACTTCCTCTGGTATATAAACTTGGTTGGCAACCTATACACAAAGAACTAAAACTTTTACTTGGAAAAAAAAATTAGTCTTAAGGAAAGTCAAAAATTGGTTACTCACTCTGATTTTTTTTTAAGCTGTCCAACTACAACACTGAAGTATTTCAGCTCCAAAAAAAGCAGAGCATATGCCCCAAATCCACCTATACACAACAATAGGTACAATTCTTTTCTACATATAGTAGGCAAATAATAGTCTGGCAAAAGATAAGACAATTTTTTCAACTACCTATTTCTGATGTATTCTAAATGACTTACCACAAAGATGATATAAACATCAGAATTTGCTTTACTAAATTCAGCTATGCAATTGAAATAGTCATATTAGTGGAAAAAAATTTAAGGGATCTATTCAAACATGATTTTTTTTTTTTTTTTTTGACAGGCAGAGTTAGTGAGAGAGAGAGAGAGAAAGGTCTTCCTTTCCGTTGGTTCACCCCCCAAATGGCCGCCACGGCGGGCGCGCTAAGACAATCCAAAGCCAGGAGCCAGGGGCTTCCTCCTGGTCTCCCATGCGGGTGCAGGGCCCAAGCACTGCCTTTCCGGGCCACAGCAGAGAGCTGGACTGAAAGAGGAGCAACCAGGACAGAATCCGGCGCTCCGACCGGGACTAGAACCTTGGGTACCGGCGCCACAGGTGGAGGGTTAGCCAAGTGAGCTAATTCATGCCGGCCCATGAATTCTTACTAGTAAGATTTTTTTTTAAATCAGTAAAGGATCCTGAATACAAAAAAAGTCATTCTTGCCCCTAGATGCTTTCTGAAGTTATGTCACAGAGGGATGACCATTTAAGTTCTGTCCCTTCAAACAACAGGGCAGTAAAGTCAGTAACACCATCATGCAATGTGTCAGATGATTCAAGTGCACAGATACAGTACATGGAACCAAACCTTAACCACCAGGCCAAATTAATAAACCTGCTACTTTATCTTTTGAACTTTATGTTCCATGGCCAGTAACTGGAAAACAAAAATAAGTTCCATCTATTAAAGAGATAAACAGCATTACAATCTATATATAGTTACCTACAGTAACCTATAGTTACTATAAAAATGAGCATAACTGAGGATAAGAAACAAAAGGAATTTCTCAGCACTTTCATTTAATGGAAATTCCTCATCCTGTCTTCATGTCAGTCTTTAAACTCCTCAGATAAGATCTACCTAAATCAATAAAGAATTCTGTAACAGGAGCACTCACCACAGAGACACTCAAAGTTGGTAGGCAGACTGCCACTGAAATAATCATAAGTTTTGTAATAAAAGAGATTTACACCTGAGATAAAATTTTGTCATACAGGGGCTGGCGCTATGGCATAGCAGGCAAAGCCGCCGCCTGAAGCGCTGGCATCCCATATGGCCGCCAGTTCGAGTCCCAGCTACTCCACTTCCAATCCAGCTCTCTGCTGTGGCCTGGGAGAGCAGAAGATGGCCCAAGTGCTTGGGCCCCTGCCACCGATATGGGAGAACCGGAGGAGGCTCCTGGCTCCTGGCTCCTGATCAGTGCCGGTCCAGCTGTTGCAGCCAGTTGGGGAGTGAACCAACAGATGGAAGACCTCTCCTCTCTCTCTCTCTGCCTCTCCTCTCTCTGTGTAACCATGACTTTCAAATAAATAAATAAATCTTTAAAAAAAATCTAAAATAAATCTTAAAAAAAAAAAAAAAAAAAAAAAGGAGGGCCAGCGCTGTAGCGCAGCAGGTTAAAGCCCTGGCCTGAAGCACCAGCATCCCATATGGGCGCCGGTTTGAGTCCCAGCTGCTCCTCTTCCAATCCAGCTCTCTGCTATGCCCTGGGAAAGCAGTGGAGGATGGCCCAAGTCCTTGGGCCCCTGCACCCGCGTGGGAGACCTGGAAGAAACTCCTGGCTCCTGGCTTCTGATCAGCACCAGTGGATGGAAGACCTCTCTCTCTGTAACTCTTTCAAATAAATAAAATAAATCTTAAAAAAAAAATCTGTCATACAACATAAGAAAGGAAAACAGACATCAAACATCTTTAACTCTAAAACTATTATTCAAAACACTAAGAACCCCCAAAATGTATGATGTATCTGCTTACATAACATCGTTACAACAGCATATTAACCTAATAAAAAAATGATAGATAAGGAAAGAGTTAATGTGTGCAACAGGTGGCAGTCACCTTACAATTAAAAAAGAAAGAATCTTACCAGGACAGAACCCCCAGAGTCCTTAGCTCTCCTTACCACTGCACCTCTCTACCTTGTTAAAAAAAAAAAAAAAAAAAGCTAAAAGTTCGGCTTGCTGAAAGGCTCGTTCTGACCAGAAGCCAAGACCTCTCAGTATCTACCTACCAGCTCAACAGCTCCGCAAGCCTGACCTAACAGAAGTGAGCTCCACACGGCAATACCCACCTGGGCAAGGCAGTCTGGCAGCACCCTCTCTTTTTCTGTTCTTAATTCAAGAAATGTCAAAGCAAGCATAAATCCTAAATGGACAAAATTCCACTACAGGGATATTTTATTTTTAAAACTTAGAGATGAAGAGTTATGACCTCAACACATAGACTGGGAGACAAGACGCAAACCTGGGAAATAAGGCTCACCAGAACACATGCCTGATGGATACACTTGCCAAAAAAAGCCAAACCTTTGGACCAGTTACATTTAGGAAGAGAAAAAAAAGTCTACTTAAAAATAGTCCGGATCATCAGAAAAAGGATTAGAGAACCATTCTCTTTTCTTCCAAATTCAGTGTAAAATACAGAGCCAAAGGAAACCACTGTAAATTCCTTTAGTAATCTTCTAGGCCTTTCAATTCAGCAAATTTCACATACCCCATACAACTCTGCGGCCTTCCTCATACTCCACTATACAAACACAAATCCAAATGTTTCAAATGAATAAATGCTGAGAATATTAATAAAGCTCTCTGGCTAAAGGAAACAAAAATGAAAGTCTTAAACTCCAATAGAGAAAGCTTTGGAGGACAGCAGAGCCTAAAGAGCAAGTACACAGATGCACATACCTGCTAATTCCCTCCAAATCATCACTGAATTTCTTTCAACAGGATGTATCACACACATTCCTCTCAAAACACAGAACTTTATCAGCACCTAGTATTCTTCCTGTCCTCAATCAACACTCCAACAACCCTCCAAACCTACCAAAGTGTTTGGTCATTTTTAAAAACAAAACAACCCACACAGTTCTACTCTCCACCTCAAAGTCACAAATCCTGGCACAACAATCTTGAAAAGTTATGAACCATCCCTCTCCTCAGTTTGGCCCCTAAATAATTCCATTCTAATCTAATCTGATTATAATATCAGCACTGAAAATTAAGAATACTCGTCACACTGTAATCCACAAAACCCTTTGATGTGCAAGGGTTTCTACAGAAGCTAAAGGCTACTCATCACTCCATTTCCAGACAGGATGAGCACTAAGGCTCTAACCACTTGGCAGAAAAATCAAGTGAGATAGTACTATGTTACTATGCCTTCCCTTCTGAGTACCAAAAAAAAAAAAAAACTGACCTGAAAAGTTTTAACCACAATATGTCCAAAATGGAAATAGATTAGTTATTATACTTCAAAACTCGGGGGTGGGGGTGGGGGGCGCCAGGGGCGCCGAGAGGACAGAGAAAGAAAATACTAACCAATCTCTGGCTGTAACGAATCCTTTCTTCTTCAGGTTCCATCTCTCACTCTTCTGTTGAAATTACAGTAAAGAAACCACTCCAGGGCTGCCTTCCTCTTCCTCCTTAGGAACCATATTGCAACATTAAAGATAGTAATACCGACAGAGATGAGAAATCATCCCCAAACTTGTGCATTCTTTTCACAGAAAGGAGCACTTGGCTTACGTAGTAACAGCTCGCTGGCCAATCAGGTCCCTCTCCACGAGCCTGGAACCTTTCCGCTCCCGGACAAGTGGTTCCATGTCCTGCTCCACACTAATCGCCACAGTACAGCTGGCCGAGGCCTAGGCGAAGCGAGCTGCCGGTTTCAGTTCCTTGAGGACCGGCCACATCACTGATTCCTCCCCACAGAATTACAATTAGCCAGGCTCCCCTTCGTGGCAGCATCGGCCCAAAAGAAAACAAAACCCAACAGCCCAGGACTTCTCTCTCCAGGGCCGACCAGGTGAGGCAGGCACGGAACTAATCCAGATTCTAACCAAACTAGTTGCCACACCGGTAATTAGAAACTCCGGGAAAGCAGGGCAGACGACCTCTATAAAAAGAGGACGGGGCATGAGGAGTTGGAGAAAACCCCCACAGCGTTCCCCCAGCCCTCGGGCAAGGCCGCCCACAGCCGTCGCCTTCCTTCCCAAACCCGAGACGTGCACAACTCCCAAACCAACCTGGGACACAAATGCCACCTGATCCTTCGGGATAAAGTAATAGCAGAAACGACATGACCTAAAGATACGAGTAGATCACGTCTTTCCCCCCCTCCCCCCCAAAAAAATTAAAGACCAGTTGGCGCGACGGACAGCCCCAAGCGAGGGGCTTCCATTTTTTTTAAAGCTTCCCACGGATGATGGCTCCCACGGGGAGTGCACGTTTGTTTTTTGCCTTTTGCAACTACATCACGGCCACGCTAACTCGCATCCCTGTCCAGACCGCCAGGAGCCCGAGGACCCGGTGACACAGTGCGCGGGAGCAGGTCGCGCTCGGCCCTCCCGGAGGAAGCCCCGGCCCGGAGTGGGGAGGGAAGCGGCGCCAGCACCCCCCGGGCTCGGGGCGGCCGGGCCGGGGCGCCAACACGCACATCTTCCCGGGCTGCCCCGGGGAGGGAAGGCGCTGCGATGGTTCGCCCATCGGAAAAAGAAATAGAAACTTTGCATTGAGTCTTTGGATAGCACCGTGAACCAAACTTCCCGACGAGGGGGGAGGGGGAGTCTCACCGGGGATTTCGCTCTCGAGTTCTTGTCCAAGTGAGAAGTAAGATTCCAAACACTGAGAGGAGAAAAAAATTAAATCCCAGAGCGTCGCCTTCGGTCTTCCCGTCGATCAAGCCAGTATCCAGAGAGGGTCAGGGCGACCCGGGAAGCAGAGGAAACGGTGGCTGGATCCGACCTCCTCTTCTGGCTTTGGAGACCGGGGGCCGGAGGCGTCGGGAGCGGGGCGCACGACCCCTCGGCGCCGAGCCCGGGGCGCCCCCGCCTCCCCCGGGCCAGCGGTCAGCGGACGGAGCCCGAGCCCCGGGCTGGCCCCGGCCGCGGGGGGCCCCCTCCTCGCCGTGCCCTCGGCGAGCAGCCACCGGGAGCCCCGGGAGCGGCGGCCGATCAGCTGAGACCGGCCGGGCCGAGGCTTCCCCGCGCCGCCCCGGCCCCCCGGAACGCGGGCCCCGGCCCCGGGGGGCGCAGAGGGCGGGAGCGGCGCGGCGCGCCGGGCGGGGGGCCCGGGCTCCCCTCGCGTCGCCCCCTCAGCCCGGGCTCCGCGCTGCGGGACGAGCCCCCCGGCTACTCCCCAGTCGCAGAGGAGGGATTCCGGGGGATGGGCCCCCTGGCGTTGCCCCTCCTCCCGGAGCGTCCCCTGCCCAGGAGAGAGAGGAGCGGCGACAGGCCTAGCCGCTAGGAAGGTGCTCTGCGAGCCGCAGCCGCCGCCGCCGCCGCCGCCGGGGAGGGGTGTTGTTTCCCTCACACAGGAGGAGCCGCTGAAGCAGCCGCCGCCATTTTGAACCCGTCAGACTCTCACATACACACAGCTCCTCCGCGGCGCACTGCGCAGGCGCCGCCTGCCCCCCTCTCCTCCAGCTCGCCTCTCCACCCCCACCCCCTCCCAGCCTCCCTGCGCCTCTTACCGCTCTCCCGGGCGCACGTGAACGCGCACGCGTCACTCCCCTCCAACGCGGACACACCGCCGGCGCGCGCACGCGCGGACGCGTCGGCCTCGAATCGCCCGCGCCCCGCGACGCCGACGCGGCTGCCCGCCCCCCCGCTCGCGTCAGCCCTCCCGCCCTCCCGCCGGCCTCCCGCCGGCCTCCCGCCCCCGCTCCCCGCCGGCCTCCTTCCAGAGCTCGGGCCGGGCCGGCGCCTGGCGCCTGCGCACTGGGCACGATCCTCCTCCGCGCGCGCCCTCCCCCCCACACGCTCGCTCGCGCGCACACACACACTTCGCCTCGGTGACCCCGCCCCGCGCCGGCCAGCTGCGCCGGGCGCCCTCCCCCACCTCTCCTGGGAGGGTGGTGACAGCCCCCCCGGCCCCCCACAAAGCACAACCACCACCACCCCCCCCACAAGCAGCAAGGGAGAAGCGCCCCTGCCCCTTCAACCGCCGTGGGCCCCAGGCGGCCCGTCACAGTCACTCAACCTCAGGGCCGGGCGGCCTGGGTCAGGGCAGCCGTTGCCCGCCTCCAAGCGGGGGTCCCCTGGGGTCAGGCCGCTGGGCCAGGTCGGCCCGAGCCGGGCACCCCCGCTCGGGCCTGCCCGTGGCCGAGGGGCCGCAGGGCAAGGGCGCATTCCCGCCGGCTGCCCTCCCCTCGCGCGCCGGCCGGTGGGCCGAGGCCCGCATGCCCGCCATCCCCGGGCAGGCCCTGGCGCCCCCGCCGCGGGGCCCGTCCGCCCTCGGCTGCGGGGGGCTCCCACGGTGCAGCGGCCTGGCCCCGCCTCACCCGCTCCTCGCCGCTCCGAAGGGGCAGGACTCGGGAGCAGCATGTCTGTCCTGGGCTCGGCTCCCCCCGCCCCCGGGGGGGAGCTCCAGGCGCTTGACCAGGGCGTCCACAGGTAGCAGGCGCGCGAGTGGTCTTCGCGACGGCCCGGGGGCGGCGGCGGCGGCGGCGGCGGCGGCCAGCGCGCCCACCGCGGGCCGCAGGCGCCCGGGGAGGTGGCCCAGGAAGCCCCCGCTCCCCGGCCACGCTCAGGTTTCCGCAGCGCCGGTGCCCCCGGCGGCCCCGGGTGGGACGTGACCCCGCCCCCGGCGAGTCGGGGCGCCCCCCACGGAGGGGTGTGCGCGGGCCGCCCCCGGCCCCCGGCCCGACCCCGCCGCCCGGGCCTGCGGCGGGCGCGGGAGGGCCCGGCCGGGAAAGATGTCTCCTCGCGGTGCGCGCACAGCTTCGCGCGAGGGTCAGCGACGGGGCAGCGGCGGCCCGAGCCGCGCCGGCCCTGCCCACGGACGGGCTCCCGCGGCTCGACCGCTGCCCGACGGGCGAGCAGGCTGCGGACGTCGACGGAGCCCGGCCGGAGGTGTCTGAGCCGTCGCCATGCGAGCAGCCCAGCCGCGATCAGGGCATTTTCCCAGCCAATCTCGTGCTCTGGGGCCCGTTTGAATTATAAATCCCGTAAAGGACCGTGGCTGGGGCGTTGCACGACGGGAGCGCTTGCGCGGTGACGCCGGCCCGTGGCCCCCGGCCTTGGCTTCCCACTCCCGGAGCCCTGATTCCCGGGAGCCAGGAACGCAGGGGAGAGGGAGGGCGTGGGTTGACTCGCAAACTTGCACAGAGAGCCTTCAACTCTTTGCAAGGCGATTGCGATGATGATACCTTCTGCCAAGGGCTGAACTCTAGGGTAAAGTCGCTCCATTAACCCCAGGTACTATTATGTATGACCAATGAGGGGGTTTCTACGTGCGAACCTGGGGAGTTTTTACCGACCTTCTCGGCTTTGTTTCACAACATTCATAGGAAACAAACTGAAGTGTCTGGTAGCGCTGTAATTACAGACAATTGAAGTGCAAAGTTAAACAGCTTCCATAATTGCTGCGACAGAGAGAGGTCCAATGCTCTCCAGTCGCCATTCCCAGAAATACCTCAACAACAACAAGCCGTTAGCATGGGGTCATTGTCGTGAGCCCCTGGAAAATATCCTGTACTCTGATACCACTTTTCTTCAGACTTCCTAGATTTCCAGAGCAATGCTACGAAAAAGATAATCTCCAGAAGTTTATCAGATCTAAAGGTTTTGTTTTTAATTTTCAGGGGGCCAGCGCTGTGGCATAGTGGGTAAAGCCATGGACTGCACCATGTGGCTGCAGGTTCCTGTCCCAGATGCTCCACTTCCGATCCAGCTCCTGCTAATGCACCTGGGAAAGCCCCCTGCACCCACTTGGGAGACCTGGGTGAAGCTCCTGGCTCCCAGCTTCAGCCTAGCCCAGTGCTGGCCATTGGGCCATCTGGGGAGTGAACCAGCAGATCTAAGATTCTCTCTCTCTCTCTCTCTGACTTTCACATAAATAATAAATCTTCAAATAAAATTTCAGACTATAGTAAAATATAAGCCAGTAGTCTTCCCGGCTGGCGCTACTGGGCATGGCCCCATAGGTATCAGGCTCTCTGTAGGTATAGAAAAGTCAGCAGCCCGTTTTGTCTTGTGTTTAAGTAGGGAAGAAAGATTTTTGTCATTGTCAGATTAAATGTTGGGCCTCGTTACTGTTTACAAAATAAACAGCTTTATTTCCTACCCACTCATCCCTAACAATACAGGAAGTACTTGGGGGCACAGGCAGAGAGAAGGCCTCTGGCAGGAGCTCAACTTGGTCTTGACAGTTTTCTTAAGGTCTGGAGCAGCTTAAGTAATTACTGTTTAAGGAACTGAGTTCCTCACCTTCAGCAAACAGGCAGCTCCTACAGGTTTAACTCAGGGGGGCATGGTGGGGGGGGGGTGCTGAGGAAGCGACCAGAACAATGCCAGGAGGCGGAGAACTTATTTTGAACATGGCTGCAGTAGAACAGGGTTTGTCAGGTTGCAGTCAGCTCCCTTCCAGTTGAACACCATTTGTTAACTAGTCCCCGTTGGAAGACATGGACCTTTAAAGAGATATACACAATGCTATGCACACAGGCAGGCTTTGTTAATATCCCAAAGCAGTTGTGGGGGGTGAGATAAGACATAGGCAGCTGGCTGGTGATGCCTCCCCCCACCCCAGACACAATGGCTCTGACTGGCAAGGGCAGATCTGAGAGGCACTGCTTTGCCTGGCCAAGGAGAGAGGCTTGGGGGATTCCCTGTGAATTGCGTGGCTTTGGCGTGGCTGTGGGGAGAGGGGGAGAAGGCTGTAGGGGGAAAAGGAAAGAAAATGCCTTTTAAAAGCATTGACCAGAGGCTCTCTGGCTGAGCAAGTCGGTGCCTTAACGAGATACAGACAAATGGATGCCTGTTTGGGCTAAACTGAGACCCAACAAATATTGAGTCAAAATCCAAATCCCTCACTTCTTTTGGCACACTTGAGGGGATGAAAAGAGAACTCCGTAGTGTGGTTAACCACGTTTAACTGTTTCTCCCGAAATGCTAAGGAGGAAGTGAGATGTCCCAAACAATGCAGGTCTAACCAAAACAGAGAAGCTGGACTCGAAGCCTCCCCAGGAGGCAGCATGAGTGGTGCTGGAAGAGCTTTGGCACTGGAGCAGAGGAGCCGCCTGCTGGCCAGTCTCTGGTCCACCCTCCAGGACGCCTCAGAGTGTCGGTTGGTCATCTGTAGGACGCAAAAATTCCCTCACCTCGGGACAAGACGGACCGTGTCTTAGAGCACCCTGTGTGGCTCCTCATCATCGCTGCTGAACATTGTCTTCCTTCTGACCTCTGGCTTTGAAGAACATTTGGAGTAATGATGCTTCAGTTTTTAAAAAATATTTATTTATTAAATTTATTTATTTGAAAAGCAGAGTTGGGGGGCCTCCCATCTGCTGGTTCACTCCCCAAGTGGCAACAACAACTGGGGCTGGGCCAGGCCAAAGCCAGGAGCTTGGAACTCCGTCTGGGTCTCCCTCATGGGAATCAGGGGCCCCAGCACTTGAGCCATCTTCCTCTGCCTTCCCAGGTCCATTAGCAAGGAGCTGGATCCCAAAGGCAGCAGTCGGGACTCAACACTGGTGCTCAGATCGGATACCACCGTCCCAGGCAGCAGCTTAACCCACTGCCACCACAATACCAATGCCAGCGCCGGTATTTAAGCAAATTGGTGGTCATGGGTTTCCAATGGGTTTACATAGAGCGGAAATAGTGCCTTGCTCGTGGCTTCTTGTTCCTAGCTTCTAGTCTCTCTCTGGTCTCCATTCTCCTGTCTTCCCTGGCTGTGCCTGTGTCTCATCACCTGCCTCTCCACCTCCCGCTCCCTCGCTGTGCCCGCCCCTACCTCCCGTGGGGGTCTGTGTCCCCTGGTCCTTGTCATCTAAGTGAGCTACGAGCAGGCTGCACTTTACCCTCCCTCTGGTGCCCTCGACAACCTGCTCCCGTGTTGTTTAATCATTTCCGTGATCATCTCTCCCCTCCCTCTTCCAGCAGACTACAGGCTCCTTGAAGACAGGGGCCAGGCCACACTGATATCCCCCCAACGACCTTCCACAATCAGAAGCACAGACTGTGGCCGGCGCCGTGGCTCACTTGGCTAATCTTCCGCCTGTGGCGCTGGCACCCCGGGTTCTAGTCCCGGTCAGGGCACCGGATTCTGTCCCGGTTGTTCCTCTTCCAGTCCAGCTCTCTGTTGTGGCCAGGGAGTGCAGTGGAGGATGGCCCGAGTACTTGGTTGGGCCCTGCACCCGCATGGGAGACCAGGAGAAGCACCTGGCTCCTGGCTTTGGATCAGCGCAGCACTGGCGGTAGTGGCCATTTGGGGGGTGAACCAACGGAAGGAAGACCTTTCTCTCTCTCTCTCTCTCTCTCTCTCTCTCTCTCACTGTCTAACTGCCTGTCAAAAAAAAAAAAAAAAATACAGACTGTGTCAAGCCTCAGAGGGTGGCCAAGGAGGTCTGGGAGTAGAACTGATTGGGAAATCAAGGAAACAAGAAAGGTCCCACAGAGTTCGTATCATTGAA